TACAAAAAAAATTTGGGATGGTTAAGAAGGGGGCTCCAACAATTTCCAACAAGTTTCCAACAATGTCCAACAAGTCTATCTAAACATTGTTGGAAGGTTTTTGAAAGGTTACAACATACATGTAATGCTAAGTGTGAACTTGGCATTACAAAATGAAATGAGCGATGGTTGAAGTGGGGGGTTCCAACGAATTCCAACAAGTTTTAAACAATGTCCAACAAGTGTATTAGAACATTGTTGGATGGTTTTTGAACGGTTACATCATACATGTAATGCTAAGTGTGAAGTTGGCATTACAACGTAAAAGGTGGGATAGTCAAAAAGGGGGGCTCCAACAAATTCCAACAAGTTTACAACAATGTCCAACAAGTCTATCTAAACATCGTTGGACATATTTTGGAAAGTTCTGCTATCAATGTAATGCCAACTTCACGCCACTGATTTCTAAGCGTGTTCTGCAGTGTTTCAATAAAATTTGAAATTCAATATTGATGGATTTAATTTATCAATTTAAGTGTATACCTACTCACAACCCTAACGGCGAACACTATGTTTTTATTGGGATGGGCAATACAAATGACAAATGACAGAAAACGCAGAGTTTGTAGCACATTAATTTTATATAATGGAATAGGTATAATACTTAATTTAGGTGGCAAAAAATTAAGCTTAATCAGCTGATAACAGGTATTTCACATTTTAACCATGCAAAATCGGCCGATTAAACTCCGATTAATTTTAATCAGAGATGGTACGACTGGCCCTTAGTAGTTAGTACTGGCTACCTACGTCTTGTTTGTTCGTGCCGTTCGTGGTATTTACTATTTATATAAATATAATTACCTAATATAAGTTATGGATTTATATAGTTTATATAATAGTAGTATAAGTATACAAAATATTTTCGATATTCACCGGCCGTTATTTTCAATTTTCATCGAACCTATTAGCCAACCACTATAAACGTTATAAATAAAATAATAAATATTGTTAAATTCGTCATTCGGCAGTCTTCAGTTTATAATTTATAAATATATATATGCCGTATACAGGGTGTTCCAAATTTCGTGTGACAAAAGACAGATCTGTGCCGTAAGAACCAGTGTAATTCCCACCATTTTTGTCACACGAAATTTAGAAGACCCTGTATATTTATATGATATGTTTGCTCGTGGCCTAGTCTACTGGTTTTTTCCAATTACCATTAACAACCGGCTTAATATTGTCCCCCTCGACCACTACCACAGTACCACCACGACATAATAATACATCGTTATCGAGTAATATCGATGATTTTCGATTTCGGTGCTTATAATAATATTATAGTCACTACTCATTACACACTAGTCATTGACCATTGTACATTCGACCATATTTTGTATTCGGTATTTGCGTCATTGTCATAGTTTCAACTTTCAACTTTTAAAAATATCATACTCAGTACTCACGATTCTTCATGATTCTCATGGTTTTATAGTTTATAGTTTATACTGTCAGTATACCTATTGTGAATTGTTATTCAAGTTTTTTTGTAACTACCTACCGTTTTCTATAATGGGAAGAAAACCAACAAACCCAATTGGCAAATTATTTTTCACTTATAATATTGAAAAAGATGAATCGACGTGCAACGTCAAAGGGTGTTGTCGACCTATTATGAAAGGACAGCATAGCCACAACCTCGAAACTCACAGAAAAACATCCCATATTCAAGAATGGAACATTTTAGTAAAAGCAAAAAAAGATATTGAGAATGAAAAGATAGCAAGTAAAAAAGAAAAACGTCGACTGGATGACACTGTGACATTTCCATCAAAGGTAAAACCAACTCAATTTTCTATTTGTTTATTTCTATTTTCATATTTTGTAATTGTTTCAAATACCCATTAGCTAGCTAATATTAAAATAATTTTAATACAAATTTTGGAAGCGATTAAAATTTATTTTTTACCATCTTCCAAATACTGGAATACTTATAGCTTATATTGACTTAATTTGCTTATTCGGTAACTAATATTAAATAATTTATATACCAACCATAAGATAAATCCAAATGTGAAAGTAGAAACCTGTAATGAACAAAGGTGCTACTTCGTTCGGACGGGACACTTTATACCCGTAAGAGGGGTGGTGTATAGACAACTTATTTTTCAGGTTCGATTTGCCCCTTAACCTGAGTGGGTAGGCAACTTATCAGACCGTTTGCTTTGCCTGAAACGTAGGACCGGCAACCTGTGGTGGAAAGACGGAAGTTATGACAGGACGGAAGCAGTTTAATAAGTATTGGGTGGGGTTGTCCTCTTGGTCAGTTCGGTGTGGTGCAATGACCGACGAGGCTCACATATAATCGGGCATTTCTTACTAACTATTACTTAAGGGTAATTAAAATTAAGGCAGGTGCAGTGGGTGGATAGATTCGTCGATGAGTGGCGCGACTGGACGACCGTGGCGGCCTCTCACACACCCTCAATTGGGTGCTGGCGGACTTACGCAGCAGCGGGGCAGCAAGTTGGTAGACCAGGGCGGCCTCACACACACCACGCCGGATGCTGGCGGACTTATGCGGACTGGGAGACCAATACGTGAAGACCGCGTACGCGGCTCGCAACGACTATCAGCATTCGACAAAGAGTCGACGGTCTCGCAGGAATGACCGGGTGATGGCACACGTACAATATAATATGTCTCGTACACGCGTTGGTGAGGAGCAGATAATAATAAGAGACAAAAGAACTCACTTATTATTGGTGGAGTGTATATTTATTGAACATATGTGTGGCTATACTAGCCAGCGACGATACAGTGTAAGTTCAACCGATGATCGTGCCGCAATGGCGACGACAAAAGAACAAAAAATACGGGTGCCGAAGTGGCAAAGAACAAATTGATACGAATGAACAGAAAAAAAAGAAACATATAAGAGCGAAGAAGCATAATATGATACCGAAACGATTAAAAACAAGACACTGATAACATGAACAATCTACAAAGACATTTGACATATAAGCAAATGGTACAACAGAAACAAAGACAATAAATAGTAATTAATAATTATAATAATGTTTTAATTAGACATAATGTATGGGGTATGGATGCACGGGAGATAAAGTGGACAACGGTCACCGTTGCACAGATAAGCGATATGCACAGCGGCTCGGCGCGTACAAAACCCATTTGCAGTTTTGTACAATGTTAGATACATTTATTAAAATTACAATTAGGTAGGTAGTTCTAAAATTCAAATCTATTTTTAGAAACATGGACCATTGGACAAGGTCATAACTATAACTAAGAAAAATCTATTTGTTAAAATGGATCAGGTATGTTTGTTAAAAGCTTGCACTGAGATTGTCACAGTAAATGGACGACCATTTACCATCTTCAACGATTCTGGTTTTCAGAAAATATTAAAGCCTTTGACTGAAGCTATCGGCGGAAGTATGAAACTAATTTTTAATTAAATTGGGTACCTACCTATCTGATCAAAAGTTTTTAAATCATTTTTAATAAATATTTCAGATTTTACCATAAATTCACACAACATAAAAAGTCACATAATGTCTGCTTCAAATGAGATAGTTTCAGATATAAAAAATGATGTGAAAAATCAGCTAATCTGTTTAAAAATTGATTGTGTGAAGCGTCATCATCGTTCCATATTAGGGGTAAATATTCAATACACTAAAGATGGAAAAATATGTTTGTCAACACTGGCCATGATTGAAATGCATGAAAAGCATACAGCAGTAAATTTAAAAAAGATGGTAATACCGTAATACTTATTAATTATTACAAAGTATAATAAAAAAATATTTTGTTAATGAATTTTATATGCCTGATAATTGTGATATTATTTTCTACTTTGTAGCTTCTTGAAACACTCGAAAAGTATAATATTAAAAAGGAACAATTGTACTCAATAACTTGTGATAATGCGGCAAACATGATTAAGTTGGCTAGGATTATGAATGATGAAACAAATGAGGCTCATGATCGTATCGTAATGACAAGTGAAAATGTCAATAACAGTGAACAAGATGATGATGATTTATGGCAGTATGACAATGAAGGAACACCACTTGCGACTGATGACATTGAAAATGAACTTTTCAATGGTATGTATTATTAGTAGTATAGATTTGTATGTTCACAGTCTTTTTTTTGTGTCACCACGGTAATTTCACAACGTTCAAGCGAGGATGTCCCGCTAGGACACAATAATTTTACCGTGTAAAAATTATGAAGAATTTACACACTTTTTAAGCCGGGTTTACACTAGGATAGTACTCGGCCGAGTCCCTAAAGCATGTTACTAAAATTGAGTACTAAATTGCGTCAAGTAAGTTTTCTGTCCATACACAGTACAGTAAAATTGATTAGTGTTCATGTCTACTAACTAAGGTTAGGTTAATAACTAGGTATGTGTAGCTGTTGTTGATTTGTGAGTGAAAATTGTGGATATATGTTTGTAATATTATAATAGTTTGTAATAAGTTTGTATAGATACCTATATCCTATAGGTTATATTATACATATTACGTAGGTATACTACATTTTCAATTTTATATATTATTTATATTTACTACAATTTATATTAAATGGATAAAGCAAAAATACGAAAATTAATATCAAAACGTTGCTTGTCAATCATCAGTCAGGAATTATTGAATTTGATAAAAGAAGAACAAGAAAGAAAGAAAAGAATTTGGATAAGAAAATGGATGGAAAAGAGAAGTACACATGGTGTTAGTAATTTACTTTTAAATGAACTAGTAGAAAACGACATTGCCGAATTTACCAACTGTATGAGGATGCCTCCAACTATGTTTAATAATTTACTTGATAAAGTTTATTCAAGAATTCAAAAATCTGATACTATCTTGAGAGAAGCTATTCCAGCCAAAATAAAATTGCAAGTGACACTGTCATTCTTAGCTACAGGAAATAGTTATAGAAATCTCCAACAGTCATTTCGAGTATCCAAAGCTGCAATCTCAAAATTTGTTCCTGAAGTGTGCGATGCAATTTATGAACACTTGCAGGATTTTTTACAGGTAAAAACAAAAGTATTGCTTTATTGTAATTTTATTCAATATAGTATATAAACATTTATTAACATTATAATATTTAACCATTTGTAAATTTAGTAGTAACATTTTTAATAACATAACATAATAATATAAAATGTGTAGTTAACATTTATTTTCTTCAAACATCACCTTTTTGTAAGTATAATAATAGCAGTAAAAAAATATTCAAAAAATGGTTGTATATAAACATTTAAACATTTATTAACATTATAATAATTAACCATTTGTAAATTTAGTAGTAACATTTTTAATAACATAACATAATAATATAAAATGTGTAGTTAATATTTATTTTCTTCAAACATCACCTTTTTGTAAATATAATAATAGCAGTAAAAAACAACAAAAAATAAAAATGATACAACATAATATGGTTTGTTAATAAACTAAATAACTTTTTGTAAATTCTAATTATTTAAATTTTAAAAACTATTTGCAATAGCTGTAGCTAATAAATCACTATTACAGTTACCGTTAATATTTGAAATATTGTAATGATCAGGTGCTGAAATATATGTTGATGATGATGTACTATCTAATGATGACATTGTCGTAGAACAAGTAATGTCTTGCATAACAAATATTGGGTACATTAGATCTAATTTCATTTAGCCTTAATTGAGTTAATATACTTTGAATTTTTTCTTGACCAATTATTGCATTTTCAGTTGATAATTTCTCCAATTGAGAAGCAACATGTTTCCCAAAAATTTCATATTCATTTGGTTTTGATTCAGTATTTATAGTCTCATTTAATTTTTGTAATTGTTGCACAGTGGATGATAACTCTTGTAATCTAGATTTTTTTTTCCTTAGTAGTTCCATGTGATTGGTAATATCTGAAGTGAAATCTGATTCATTGTTGAGGCATTGTTTATTTCAAGTGAAATATTATGTTCTTCATCTCTTTCGTGGTCATTCATACATATTAATTGACTATTTGTTTGACTTATTGAGTCTACAACTGATGTATCCTAAAAACAATAACAATAGTTTAAAATGTATTGTAGGTACCAGACTCAGAAGATAAGTGGAAAAACATTGAAAAGGGATTTAATACAAGGTGGAATTTCCCAAACTGTTATGGTGCTATTGATGGGAAACACATAAATATTCGTGCACCTAGTCATTGTGGAAGTTTTTATTTTAACTATAAAGGAGTAAATAGTATCGTATTAATGGCAATTGTAGACGACAATTATTGTTTTCGCTACATAGATATTGGCTGTAACGGAAGAGTATCAGATGGTGGCGTTTTCCAAAATTGTGCAATATTTACTGCACTGGAAAATAATATACTGCCTGACGGAGGGTTTATTGTAGGAGATGATGCTTTTCCATTAAAAACATACTTACTTAAACAATATTCGCGAAAACAACTGACAAAAGGTGAAAAAATTTTTAACTACCGATTGTCTCGTGCGAGACGAATCGTAGAAAATGCATTTGGGATTTTAGTAAGTAGATTCCGAATTTTTGAAAAACCTCTTTCTTGTGAAGTCTCAACTGTTGATAAAATTGTTAGAACGTGTTGTGCATTACACAATTGGCTAAGATAGGAATCGGTATCGTCATACATGCCCAGGGGATCAGTTGATGAAGAAAACATTGATGAAGGCATAATAACTGAAGGATCATGGAGAACACAAAGTTATTCTAGTTTTTTGCCAATTGCTAATTCAAGAAGTAATCACTCTTCACAAGCTGCTAGAGATTTAAGAGATAAATATCAGGAGTATTTTTTAAACGAGGGATCAGTATCATGGCAAGAAATGATGATATATTAATTATTAATGTCAAAATAATAACTATATAATATTATTATATATATATATTAAATTAAAAATAATATAATATTTTTTAATCTTATTAATTTTATAAAATATAGTATTACAGCTTATATTTATACTCTACAAGTTCTCATTATTATAAACACTTAATTATTTTTCTTTCTTTTTAGATTCATTTTATTTTTACTACCTAATAATTTATAATTATTTAGTATCAATTTTGTATTTTGTTGTATGTATTCAAAATTGTGTATTTTATGGTTTGAAAATTAATTAAAATTTTTATATAATAATGGTCATAATAGTATTGAATTATTATTCAATCTATCATCATATTTTTCTATTTCATGTAATATAATACATTGAATTTTATAATTTTTATTTATAATTTATGTTATAAATTAAGTTTCTTATATTATTATTATATATATTAAATTATGTTAAAAAATAAAATTAATACTTACAAGGCTAAGGTGGTCATGAGTCTTTCTTTTATTGCCAGTCCCTTGCAAAAATGCTTCCATCTCTTTAAACCATTTTACTTGTGGTATGTATAAGTAATCTGTTCCTGCACCCGATTTTTTGGAACATTCAATTTTTTTAACTCTTGTGAGTACGTTGAACGTAAGTTTTTAATTTTAGTTTTTACTTCCGCAATTCCAAAGTCTGGTATGTTCATAACACTTGCAATTGAAGTGTAGGCAGCATCACGCGCTTGCTTATTTTTATATAAATTATAATGTATGTTCCAAAGACATTCATGTTGACGATATTAATCTACAAACTTTAATGTAGTATCTTCGTTCCACTCATATAGATAGTATAGTCATATTAGTCATATAAATATTTAATAATCTTAAATGAAAAAATATACAAATGTGTTCAGGGCAAAAAATGATGGAAATAATAACTACAAATCAAAAATATAAAGTGAAGTAATAACACATGTCACATAAACAAATGTGATAACCTGTTTATCACTGTTTACTCGTGCCGTTTTTACTAAATCTAGCACTAAAATACTTTCTTAGTAGTGTCTACATTGGTTTAGTAAATGATCGGCTGCTAGTGGAAAGACCACTCGGTGGCAAAAATAGAGTTGGTTTCTATTTACTCGACTAAAATGTTTACTAAAATCATCACTGGAATGATAACTAAATAGTATGTCCACATTTTTCAAGTAAACAAAAATTAGTAACATGCTTTAGTGACTCGGCCGAGTACTATCCTAGTGTAAACCCGGCTTTACACGGTAATTTCACATCGTTCAAGCGAAGATGTTCCCCTTGGACACAATAATTTTACCGTGTAAAAATTATGAAGAGTTTGCACACTCAAAGTCAGTTTTGTCCAAATATTTACCGTGTACACACTAAATGTTTTTTCCCCAACAAACCTTATTATTAAAATGAAATAATAATTACTATATTCGCATTTACATTTATGTTGGTTGCACTGCAATTGATCTAATTAATGAATGTCTGTATTTTTCTAAAAAAATGTATACAATTTTTAGTTATAAGCTGATCATTTACTCATATTCAGTTACTAATGATCCGCCGTTCACTTAAGTCGTGTCTCATTTTTCTTTATTTTCTTAAAGTTTTATTACATTGTATAAGTTATTTAATTTCTTCAAAAATGAATTTTCAAAAATGTCCGAATGATTTTGAATCATTAGTTTATCGTATACGAAGTAATCCGACCATGGTTCATCCAAAATTTTCATCGTTTGCATCAAGATTTAAAACATTCAAATTATTCCCGTTAAATACTTCTCAAAATAAATATACATTGTCCGAATGTGGCTTAAAATATTCAGGAGTGGATGATGTCGTGGAATGCTTTTGTTGTGGTCTTATTCTTCATAACCGGGAAAGGCTGGACGACCCATGGATTGAACATTGCAGATTCAATCCAAGATGTTTATATGTATTATTAATGAAGGGTAATCAGTATGTTCAAAATGTATTAAGTAAATACTGTAAAACCGATCATATTCACAGTTGCGAATCTGAATCATACGATACTGTTTGCTAATCAAGTTTTTATTATATTATGTTATAGTAAATAAAAATAAAATGTTGATTTTTTTTTACCGTTGACTAATCATGTTTTTATTATATGTTATACTAAATAAAAATAAATGCTGATTTTTTTTTAAAAACAAATTATATGTGTTAAATTTGATTTAATATCTCACGATCGTATAGACTAATAAGGTTAGTGCATGTAGAGATAATTTAAATGTATACTAATCATGTTCTAGTAAATAAAAATAAATGTTGATTTTTTTAAAACAACTTATATGCGTTATTATTTGATCTAATATCTCGTGAGCGTGTGGTCTAGTGGATTACTGCATGTAGTGTTAATTTAAATGTTTTCAGGTATCAGGTGTTGAAAGTGAAGCTTGACGGACTAATGATGTCAGCATTAATATAATAAGTAATAACACGACAATATGATTATGTATAAGTATAATATATGTATAATAACGTACAACTGGACAATTAAACTGTGACAGTACACATACATCGTATACGCTCTGTACAACGACGCCTGTGCAAGTGAATATTACATACATCAAAGGCCCTATATATATGCACGACCGAGGTCATGTTACATCCGTAAAGAGAGTGAGTCTTATGCTCGTACATAACTAGTTACTATATTGTACACACGTGTCAAGGCTGATCCGGAAGTGGGTGTCGAACGCTGGCTGGCCTGTCTACTGTTGGTAGTTAAACAGCAACTTCAGGGTTGAAGTAATCGAAAATGTCCATGAACTCGAGTTCACCGGGCAGGACATCGACTATCTCGACGTCTGCCGGCAAAACTTCGTCGTCCGTCTGGACTTCCATGTTGTCCACGTCGACAATTTCCACATTGTCTTCGTCCATAACGCCGTCTTCCATCACAACGTCAATGATGTGGTCCACATTGTCTTCATCTTCCATCACGACTTCCATGTTCTCCACGTCTCCATGTTCTTCCACATTGACTTCGTCCATAACGCCGTCTTCAATCACAACTTCAATGATGTGAGCCCAGTTTAAAATATGTTTAGTCATAGCAAAAGAATGGTTCTGAAGCAGTGATCAACAGTTATACAATTAAACAGTTAAGTCAAATGACAAAAGGGAAAACTAATAAGTGAAATAAAAGTGTTGTGTAGAGAGACATGTACACATATATCAAACATTTGTTTATTAGTGAAAGTAAAACAAAATATTAGTTTAAGGCTATCATTAAAAATCATAACATGTAAGTTTAACGTTTAAAGTCTGACTCTATGTCGAGCCATAATCAATGAATAGGTTAAAATAAATAGGTACATAATCACAGTCCATAAGTAGTAATTTACAGTTACACATTAAATAGTTAAGTAAAAATAAAAGTGTTCTGTTGATGTATTAGGTATACGTCATGATCCTCAACAAAAATAATAATCAAATGAATAAATTCCTAACTGTTTAGTTAGTTTAGGTTTGAGCACGTGTAAATCAAGGTAATAGAATGCAATGTGTACGTGATAGTAAAAAAAACAATATTAGTTATTAATTTATTCTGTATTGTATAGTTATAGTATGTATATTGGTATGTATATTGGTATGTATGTAACTGACATAATGCTTCTAATGTTATACTTAAGAAGTAAACATAATCATGAACAATAATGATAGTAATAAAGTAAGTTGTAACTAAGAGTTAGCCAGTGTATTAAAGTAATAATTAAAACAAAAAGTAAAGTACATGTCTTTAATGTTGAGTAGTAAATTAATGGTACTGCAGCAGTAAAATTGTAATATATGTAATGCTATAGTTAACTCACAGAACACGGTCTGTACGTTAAAGTAAAACAACGTTTCTCGTTGTAACGGGAACTTACTGTATTAGTTTAAGGCAATCATACTTGAATATCTTTAAGCTTAATACATAAGTTTAACATTTAAAATTTACATTTAAACTTTAACTCTAATACCGTTCATAAGTAGTAATATATAATTAACAGTTACACATTAAATAGTTAGGATGGTTGAGGATAGTTATATACAATATATAATAAAAACAATAAACAATGAGCAAATCAAAAGTAAAGGAACAAACGTATTTATGTAATAATGTAGTTAACTACAGTGTGTATGTGTATATTAGTATAATGTAGTCGTGCTTTAAATATCCTAACCTAACCCTAAAAAATATTTTTTCTTACCTATATACTTATAACTACTATAAATGTAATAAAACTTATTTAAGTACCTAGTAACCCAGAGTAAGTGGTTAAAGCACAGAGCTTAGTTTAAATTATCTCATAGCATATGAATGGTTCTGAAGCAGCTGTCAAATTTGATTACACATTAAATAGTTAAGTCAAATGACAAGAGGGAAAACTAATAAGTAAAATAAAATTGTTCTGTTGAGGTAAAGTTTTTTTAATTAGTTCACTAACAGAACACAGTGTGTAGGTGAAAGTATAAAAAAAACTATTAGTTATAGTACACAGTTACTCTCATCATATATATGATATATATAAGTACATTAGTATTATATTTAAGTGTATTATGTATGTATGTATGTATGCATATGTCCACATTAATTAAACATTCGTTAGTAAGACAAAATATTAATTTAAGGCAATGAATAGGTTATAATAAATATTTAATAATAGTTCATAAGTAGTAATTAACAGTTATTGGAATTGTAAAATTGAATGTACAGGTTAGGTTAATTTCAAATTATTAAATGGCAATAGAACAGTTTTAATAGTCAAGTCAAATGCATTTATCATAATTTTTGGTCTTAAAAATATATGTCAGTATGAATTAAGCATGGGGCAGTATAGATTGTATTAATTCTACAAATGTACACACAATGTAAAGAAAATATCGCTCATAATATGTAAGTGAAGTCTTAATAATACTAAAAAACCTTATTTCGTTAATAATACTCAGTGATGTGTACTTAATAATGAACATACACTGCCGCATTCAGTA